TTCTCTTCAGTCTTGGTCATGGCTTCCACCTTCTCTTCAGTCTTGGTCATGGGTTCCACCTTCTCTTCAGTCTTGGTCATGGGTTCCACTTGGTCTTCAGTCTTGACCGTGGGTTCCACCTGGTTCGCACCCTCCTCAATCGGAGCTTCTTGGTTTGGACCCTGGGCTTCAAAAGTTGGAGGCCGTGCTGATTCAGGGCCTTGTGGAAGAACTGCAGGCCCGGTTTGAGGCAAGTAAGCTTGCAGCCATTGAAGAACTTGTTGATCAAGTCCTCCATTTGCAGCAGATGTGGAAGCATTTGCATTTGTCTGAGAAAGTGCTTGAAGAAGCGCTGGATAAAGAGCCTCTAGTGCCGGATAAAGCGCCTGAAGAGCCGCTTGTCCCAAACTCGCTTGTTGTTCCTGAAACCGTTGAAGGTTAAAAGCATGTTTTTTCCCTTTCAGATGACTGTCAAAAGTAGGAGCCGATTCACACTTCACATCACAAAGCTCACAAATAAAGGGTATGATTTCTTTCGGTTTCTTTGAAGGCTCAGCAGATTTCCTTTCTCCATCTCTCATTTTTCTCTTTAACCCACTCCCTTGTTCTTGAGACTCCACCACCTGACTTTCAACTTTGGTCAAACCCGAATTTTCCGGTTTCTCAGGGGCGGCCATTTGAGTTTCTTGTGTTTTGGCTGCTGCAAGTTTCTGCAACTCTTCCTGTACTTTCAAGTTCTTTTTATGCTTTTTCCCGTTCTTATGATTTTCAAGAATCTCAAGAGTGTTGCAGTCGACTCGACAGAGTTCACACCATGCCATACATGGAGGTTTCGGCTGACCAATAGTGGTTTTCCCACCACGCCCTCGGCCACGTCCCCTTCCATGGAAAGACGAGCCACCCCCTCTAAAGCCTCTACCTCCGCCTCTGCCAGAACCACTATTTTGAGCTTGCCCATTCTGAAAATCAATGCACCAAAGAGATATCAAGCATATAACTCAGTTAGACAGGCCAGAAAAAGGCAAAAGATGGTTCTAGCCACCAAGACAAGGGTATAAATGTAAAAAAACATTCACAAAGGATAAGATGTTTCAAGCACAATGGTTGTTAATAGCATGAAAATGGGAGGTATTATTCTGCTGTAAATACCACAAAAGAAGTGAGAAAGAAAGAGAAAAGCACATTGCACCTTTCTGCATTGCCTCCTTCTATATTTAGCACCATAAGTTATTAGTTACAGAAGTTGAGTACCTCCCAGATACCCATAACTTACTATCCAATTCTATATGGTCAGATTTGGACCTTTGGGCCTCAGAATTAAGCCCTCTGTTAAGAAGGATAAAAATTGACTTTAGAGGTCAAACAAACTACATTTCAAATGCAAAAAGATATGGGTTCTATTACAGAGACCACACCAAACAATTTATGTTTTATAGTATTGTGTGACAAGGTTTGATGTAGTTGTAATGATCCCTCAAAATTTAACGAACCAATATCAATTTTGAAGTTAAAATGTAGTAGTACTACCTTGAAAGTCAAACAGTATCCCTGTTGTGGGGGAAGCAGAAGTAATAGTAATTTCCATTATTACCGTTAAGCTACATTTCACATTTCTATGCAATGTTGCATTAACATTCGCCCGTTTCCAAGAACTAAGAACCCACTCGTAAAATTTCCATGAAATTCAAGCATCCGTCTCCCATCAACAAAGAAACTGCTGCAAGAAGCTGTGAGAGATTCAGCACAAAACCTCAAGAAGCTTGAATATGAAATCCTGAAGGAAGGTTCATCAGCCGACATCCGAAAAGGGAGCAAATACAGTTTTCCAATGATACCCTTTAAGGTGAAGATCGTTGGATGACTGTTTTAGAGTGAGAACTTTGATTGCCCCCTCGACTGAATGGCACATGTAGCTAGCAAGGCCATACAGTCAAGGTTTGACAGTAATGGAGAGGCTCAATGTGACCATAAGTTTGGTTGAATCAACTAGACACTTGATCGGGAAAAAAGATGTCGAACACCAAATGGGTTTCCCACAAGAACTATAAAGCAACCAGAACAATACATTTTTTTATAATCTTGGCTCTTGTAAAGTTCCACATAGAGTTGCTTTAAGGTTCTGTGGCCAAGCTTATAGAAGCCTCTTCTTCGTTTCCCCAAAACTATTCTAGAAAACAAGAAATATCGTGTACCATTTCAACAGTCAAAACCTGCAAAATCTTCAACCAAGCCGAGAGCTTGTGGCTAATCACTTCTGCAGAGGGGAAAAAACAACTTTTAAGTTTAAGTAGCAGGTATTTGAGCTTAAACCTAAGCCATTCCAATGGCTGTTTTCAAGCTCTATTTGAGAAATTGTTACCAGATGACCACTGGTTTTAAGCTCAAGCTTGAGCCTGTGTGAATTATCTGTTTTAGTGCTCGGGCTCGAGCTCGGCTTCTAGCAAAAATTCAAGGCTGTGCAGCTCAGCTGATAGTTCTCAGATTTATGCTAGTCCTTTGACATCTTTGTTCAGAGTACCATTTATCAACTGTTTTGAAAGTTCCCCACTAAACTGACTCTTAAAATGTAGGTAGACAGTCTAAACAGCATAAAGTGTTTGGTTTACATGATCCCTATTACTTATTTAAATAAACCCTAAGATTTAAAATTGAAACCCCATTTAATCATGCAAAACTTGAACAGTTCAACGATTTGAATTATGTTAAATACTCCCAACTCATCCTCCTGACAACAAAATGATAACAGATGGCAAAATCCAAGGGAAGATACGAGGATTGGGAAAAATTAATGTGTAGAGTTTGAAAGAGTCATCATCTTGTTATTAGGAGGCTAAGTATAAGGATTGGTTAAGAAGATTTATCATTTCTGTATCACAAATAATAGATCCATGGTCGTTTAGCTTAAAGACTTTTATGGGTGTCAATTGCTGGATGATATGTTTGTCTATAAAACTAAAAATGAAGTTCACCAGCAAAAGTGTAGTAAATTTGTGGGTATGATTTCTTTAAATCTAGACAAGGAAGGCATATTGTTATAGCCATTAAAGCAAACTGATAAACCAAAGTATTAAGCACAGGCTAACCAAAGTATATATTCCAAGCAATACACACACAACAGATATATATATGTGTGTGTGTGTGTGTAAGTATCATGTATGTATATAAACTTGAGTATGTATTTTATTTATCCTATAGATGCCCCATAATTTAGCAAAAGCGATCATTATCTCTAACAAAAATACTATGCATGGTTTCTAAAATGGTTAGAACCAACATATTCATAATGGCTCAAAGTATATGAGCGCAAATAATTAATTTTTGCAAACAATCACTTAACTTTTAGCTTTTTTTTAGAAATGCTCCCCCCATTCTGCAACAAGAATTCAGTTTACAGATTCTTCTAGTTCCAGTACGCGAGTCCCATTCTTTATCAAACAAAAACATAATAGTCTCATATAATGTAAATTGAGATAATGTACTCACACTTACAAGAGCTACAAGTATTATGAATCTTTATGAATTTTTCCAAACAAGCTTCAGGTTATGGAATAAGAGTTCTTATATCCAAAATTCTTTTCTAGCTCAACATGTTAGAAGGCATGCCACCATAATTCGAGAAATCCAAGTTTCCACGCATTACCTCTGGGGAGTTCCAATGTGATAACTGTGACTTGAGCTTTAAATGTTTGGGAAAAGTGATTATGATTCTAATTTTCTCATTATCTAGGGTTAAGGTAATAAGATATTGGAGAAGCAGTTATGAATTAGCTTTAAGAGAAATGGTTACCGAGATAGACATAATATTAGCCCACTGTTCCTTGCTATTATCATATTTTGATTCTTCAAGTTGCAATAATCACTTTTAAAAAACGCATCCAAACACCTTAAATTACAAGTACCCTTAAGAGCTATGCACAATAACTCAACTTAACTAAATGACAGAGATTGTGGTTATAAATCTTGACACTGCAACCATATAAACCCATAATAATCTGGGCATTTGCTTTGCACCCATACATAGAACCTGAACTAAACTCAAGAAAACCAACTACTAGAATATGGTCTATCCTAAAACTCTCAGTTCAAGGAGTTTTTTAGTTACTTCAACCCCCCCCCCCCTCATCATCATATCATAGTTAAGAACAACTAATCAAATAACTAAGGGATGGAACTCACATTACATAAAGGAAACTATATACACTAAGATACAAGAGAGCAGCAGGTATAGAACTCCCCCCCCCCCCCCCCCCCCCCCCCCCCCCCCCCCTCCCCTCCTTCAACTGTGGACTCCCATTGGCATCAATATTCAAATTCAAGATAGTAATCAAATATGCACACATAAATGGTAACAGAAACCAAATTCATCAAATACCCAATAAAGAAACTGTAATTATTTGAAATCCCTAGTCAAGAATTATTCAATCACGAATCTTAATCATGGTTACCGGTGGGTACGACGAAGTAAGCCCATAATCAGCGGTTTGCCCTTGTTGCTGCCATTGCTGCTGACCCTGATGCACTAAACCCGGATCCGAATAACTCAACTGCTGTTGTTGCTGGGGTTGTGGGTAGTATGGGTCATTCTGGAAATGGGTGGTGTTGTAGCCGTGCTGGTAGGCAGCCATATGAGAGGGGTCGTTCTGGATGGGGACACCAGGAGGATGAATCGGGGCGGGTTCTTGTTCAGGGTGTTGTTGATAAACAGGATTAGGATTAGGGTATTGCTGTTGTGCAATTGGGGGATAATACGGATAAGGTTGAGATTGATCGTATTGTTGATTGTAGAGGTATTGATCTTGATTCTGAGGTTGAATTTGGGATGATGATGGGGGAGGGTAGGTTTGAGCAGCATAGGGATCCATTGCTGGTCGCTAATTCTTTAGGAGGGTTGGGGGAGAAGGGAAATTGTGTGAATAGGTTGGAATTGGGCGATTTATTCGTATGTCAAGAAGACATCTAGAGTACCACTTTTAATGCCTAACGTACATTTTCCATATCCAAGCTACTAAATTACGTTTTTCGTCCTTGTGGTTTCGTAAAAATTACGATTTTTGTTCCTATGGTTTTGAAATTACAGTTTTAGTCTGTTTGATTTACAATTCATTGTTATTTTCATCCTTGAGGTTAACTCATACCTGTAATTAGAAGGGATGAAAAGAGAAAAATTATAAACCATAGAAACAAAACACAAGAAAAAGAAATTACAAAGTATAAGGACGAAAATGTAATTTCAAAAGCACGAGTACGAAAATAACAATTTTCAAAAAAATCATAGGGACAAAAATGTAATTTACTCCTAGCTAGGATGTTGATTTTAATGTCATGAAGTATTTTGATGTAGTTGAGAATTGACTTAAGATAGATGAAGATATTAAGCATTAAGACAAGTTTGGTGGTATGGAGTGTAATACTTATGTGTGTCACCTTAAACCATAGATGTCATATAGTGGGCGGTCAAGGGGATTATGCCCCTTTGCGGGGTTCTAAGGACAATGCCCCATTCTAAAACACTATGCAGCGATTGTTGTTTCTAAGGCCCTGTTTGTTTTTACAAAAAGAACACTTAATACCCTCTTATGTCTGAATCGGTCAGACCTTAGAGTATTAAGTGTGTTTGTTTTTTTTTTCAATTAAGAGCTTAAAAGCTCTGATTAATTATTTAGAGCTAACATAAACACTGAAAACCTCTTATTATTGCGTCGCCTACCTGGTCTCTCTCAACCTCTCCATCGCTGCGTCAGTGGATCCTTCTCTCAAGCTCTCGATTTCTCTTTTAAGCTCTCGGTCTCTCTCTCAAGCTCTCGCCTACTGTCTTCTACCTCTCGATCTCTCGATTTAAGGTATCCATCTCGATCTCTCAAGCTCTCTATCTCTCGATCTCTCAAGCTCTCTATCTCTCGATTTTCTTTCTCCTTGCTTGGTTAATTTCTGTTTTGCCTGGTTCAAAAAAGGGTTTAGGGTTTACCTCCTATAAGGGGTTTTTGTATGTGAACCCCACGGTTGAAATCCTATAAGGGGTTTTTTATGTGAAGTCTGTTAATAGCATTTGAAAGAAGAATCAGTAGTGATATTAATGGCTTCCATCTTGGTTAATGGATTTCTCATAGTTGATTGCACATGCAACCATTTTGTTTGGTAAGAGACTATGATCCAAAATGTGGTTCTTTGTTAACTTCTTATTTGATTTATGTTTTGGTTCTTGTTTGATCACTGTCAAAGGTTATAACAAACAGCCTGTCAAAAGGGTTCTTGTTTGATCACTGTCAAACAACCTTAAAATTCCACCGAGCTCCAATTTGGGTTGTTGTGCATTAGCCCTGGATTTAAATACGATTAGATTAGGATAATTGTACTCCAATGAACCATCTTCTAAATTATATAAATTATACAGTTTGGGTTGTTGTGCATAGTCTGTTGCAAAAACACACATGGTTCCTACTAAATTTTTGCTTTAATAAGTCCAGGGTTCAATTATTCAAATGACACAACATATATAGGAAGCAGCTTTCTTAAGCTTTAAAAATCAGTTGTGTCTTTTGCCTTTATATATGTTGATTGCTGCTAACCATATTAAAATTTGTCAAGGTTCGTCCCTGCACAAACATACACACACATTAGCACTATATATATATATATATATATATATGTGTGTGTGTGTGTGTGTGTGTGTGTGTGTGTGTTGATTGTTGCTTTCTGTCTTGCATTGTTGAGCCATATCTGGTAGGATAATAGATAATAGTAATTAATAAACAACCAAGCTACCAACAAACCATTAACCAAATCCACCA